AAAACTCTATACGCAGCTGTTTGGTTTAATGTATTTTTTTAACTGTCGAAAAATGCATATTACAAATGTACATATATATCCAAACATATTTCTATTTCTATTTATAATTTAAATCGATTTTGAGTTCTATTTTTAATTCATCACATTTCAGTTCACTTGCATTGGCACTTCCGTCAGAACTTCAATCAACATTCGCTCAACAGTAACTTCAAGCTACCCAATGCACATTATTATCTCATTGGAAGTACTAAACTAGTTGTAATGTAACTAGTTATAAATATGGGTATTTTTCTATTGGCCAGTGGGACCTCTAGGACGAAACTTTATTTCATTTTGACCCAAGGTGAAAGTTGACTAGCACTAAAATAGATGCTAAAAATTGGTCTTGGCCAATAGTGCGTTTTCAATATGCTTACAAAAACCTCGCATGCGACAAAAATGTATTCGCTTTCAAAGCAAGCAAATCAAGCACTAATTTCACTGAACCTTGAAGGAATATTTTTTATGCAGATAATTCTTTTTGTGGTGGCCGCAATAGCCCAGTTTAGCCTTGCGTGTTGCCATTCGGTAGGCCTGGGTTCGAATCCTGCTGTGACCAACATTCAAAAGTTAGCGAAAATTAATTTAAATTAAAAATTCAGTTAAATTCTCTAATTGCGGTCGCCCTTCGGTAGGGATTGTCAACACCTCAGAGTTTTTTCGGACATATAATAAAGGCTCCTCATGAAAATTTCTCAGTTTTTGAGATATTTCAACTAAACGTGGAATATTTAAACGACCATTTATCGGCCAGTTCTTGCCATAACAGCTTTCGAGTATATACTTCCGGTTTGCCAGATTTTTGGTCATAAATTTGTGAAAAAAGGGTCTAAGAGCGTGAAATTTTCTACACACATATAATGGAATTACATGTCGGTGCTGACGATTATCGATATCGGAGGTCTATATCATATGCCCCCCATGCAACAAAACTTTACCTCTCTCTATCTCTACACATGAATGCACATATCAAAAGCGGTATAGAAAATCGTCGAAATCGCAAATATTTATTATATAGCCCCCTACAACTAATATGTATTTGAGATACGAGAATTAATATTTATTGCTAGCATGAAATACAAAACATTTTTTTATGTTCATGAACGGTATAAAGGCTTTTTAGCATGATTCTTTCTTCCTTTCTTGTTCTACAATATCCCTATTATTTTTAAGAATTTTTCTGAAATTTTTTGTCTTCTTAAAAAAAATATGGCTTTGCCGAAAGACTTGTTTATCCTTCCCCATAGCCCAGCAAAGCTCCAGTGCTAGCTCGATTATTCTATTCTTATTTACACATTCACTTACATACCTATGCATCAACATAGCCCATGGGAATGATAACTTGTACATAAGAATGCATTTTCCACCTACAAATTTTTGCACAACATCAGCTTCGCACTAGTAAAATACCAGTTCAATTGTGTAGGCTCAAATACCACTTTGCAAAAATAAAAATAAAAAATTGCATGCAGAAAGATACGAACTTTACTTCACTGGTCTGACAATCTTTCGTAGTGTTGTGATTATAATAAATAATATTAAAAGGTGTCTGAATGAACTGTTAGGTTTACTTCCTTTAAATACTAGTTTGGAACCAGAGTCAATCGTGGTGAGTTGCATTGTAATAAAACTCATACATACCTAAAGAAATCCCATCACATCCACGCATATCCACACATCAACTTCTGAAATGTTGTGTGCTGGTTATTTCAACCGGGCGAAACATAATCAAAATACAATTTTGTTATGCAAATACATCAATATAAATAAAAATAAATGGAAAAAGCTATAGAAAGACACACATGTCTGTGGGCGTATGTAAGCTTTAATCGAAGTCTGAAACGCTTTGATCCTTTTTCATATTCGTCCTGTTGACGATTGACGGCATTGACAGCTGTTCAAATACGAAGTACAGAATTACAAGATGAAATCCATACATACATAAATATTTAACAGTACAGCACAAACTTGTACTCACATATTTATTGTAGTTTTATTGGAACACAAAACAGGAAATGCCAAAAATGGATAGCGATGCACAAATTTATAGTTTCCCGATAGGAAAAAATGTTGGTGCCTTAGTTTTCAGTTGAGCTACTCAAACGGAAGCAAAAGCTTTGTAGCTTTACAGGGTCTTCTCCTTAATGTTTTCGGGAACTACAAGCCAGTTTGGTTTTGAGATTACGAGTTGGGATTGTTACAAGGCTGCGGAGCTCGTGATCAGTTTAGAGTTTTTTCTTCCACTAATTAAAGAAAGCTGCATACAGAAATAAGTGGGAGAGTTATGCTGCAACTACCCATCTCACATACCTTCCATCCAAAGCAACCTATTTTATGAGAGCAACCTATTTTATGTCACCGCTTGCCCATGCCGTTACTGACGTGTGTCCAGCAGAAACCAGCGGCGATTTGATTTTTTTCCGTAAAACCGGCTCGACTTATTTCTCGTTGGTATGCAAGGTTGCCAGTATGGACTTTCTTAAACTAATATAAAGTAAACTAAGATAATGCGTAGTTTTTTTCATAAGAAATGAAAACTGAATTAGTAATTAATTATATATTACCATATAGATCATAAATATTTGATTGGCGTTTATATTCGAACATATAAATTATGAAATTCGGTAACGAAAATTATAAATTTGTTCAAAAGTGTGCAAACACACTGGCAGGTGGCAACATTTCGCCGCTTTCAGTAGCGTCGATAACTCGCGTATGCATGTCGCTCTTCCAGTGGCTGTTATGGACGGAAGGTATGTTAGATGGGTAGTTGCAGCATTAAGGTACACAAGATAGAGCGAATGAGCAATACACAGAGAGAGAGATAGAGAGAGAGAGAGAGAAAGTGAGGAAAAAGAATATACTCAAAAAGTTGTAGAGAGAAGAAAAAAGCGGGTGGAGATATTGAAAAAATGAGATAGTCAAAGAAAGGCAGTTAGAGAGAAATAGAGAGAAAGAAAAGTAACGAGGTCGCTGCCAATGTTTGAAGCAGATGACTTCGCTGGCTGTCCACAGTAAAACATGATTGTGTTATCTATGGTATTTGACTCCGATATGCAGCTAGTAAGGCGCTGTTGTCTGCTGTCGTCAACTTCGACCGAATACACTTGACAATATACAGTGTATCTGTATAATCGGGTTATGGTCACCAATAATGAATGGCATTGCCAACTGGACGTGCCCGTTATTACCCAATAAGTACAAGCAATGCGAAGTTTTTACGACTAGCTGTGAATTTCTCGAATTAGAATTACTTCACGATTGGAGATGTGGACATTTTGAGTCACAATATTACTGATAAACTTTCAAGAAACGGAACCCTTTTAATGAAAAGGGCATAAAGGTACTAGGGATCATTTCCGATCTTCTCCTATGAATTATGCAAGTTTTTCGGAGATCTTTTAAGTGTTGTACAGCAGCTCCTCTCCCATGTGCACTTAGCAACCGCTGTTGTGGAATTATGCGGCCACCTCCTCATAGCTTAAGGAGAGCTAACTCTAGTGGCTGAGAGAGATGACGATTCAGTGAAGCCAATGGGATATATTAGATTATATGTTAAGAGCCATCATCTTCAATATATATATTATTATAATAGCTGCAGAGATAAATAAAGAGGATGCAATTTTCTACAAGGGCTTACAGCACCTGCTTTCTGTAGGCTATATGAGAAAGCAACCATAATGGGTTTGGTTCTGATGCGAAGAAATATCTCTTGTCATCGAACAAGCATTCAGTGCTTTTACGTCACGATCCAACGTCACTGTTGATAAGCTTACATATCTTAGAAGTTGCAGACACTTTCTTCTATTAAGGAGCCCGTAAAAACACCCACAACAATGTCAGCCAGGAAATCCAACGCACAACCAATCTTCAATTGAAAAGTAAAGCCCTCTTTCGACAAAGAAAAGACCAAACTTTCTAAGTCGCTCATAATTACTGGCTAACTCTATGGTACAGAAGCTTGAACATTGAATAAGTCGACCTTAAGACTCTTCGAGAAAATGGTTCTCTAGAAGATTTGTCGTCCTCTGGTGCCAACGTTAAAGAGGAAGAAGAAGTGTCGGCCATTAGAGCAAGAGTTTTCAACATTTTCCTTTGCTACGTAAACACAGCGGCAGAAGAGAAGTGCGACGCTACTGAAAAGTCGTTTTGTGAGCTCTACGTTTTCAAAATCACACTTGGCTATTTTAACGCTAAGACGCGCGGGGTGTGTTTAAAAGTCGGAAAATTCACCATCCACGACGAGATGTTGCCAAATGAACTGAATATAATCGACTTCGAAGGGGTCCAAAATTCGATGGCCACTACAACACATTTTAGCATAAAACCCGTATTCAAATCAATTAATATTTTTTCCCTGCTCTTTGGTCTCGAAAAAAAACCTATTTGTCCGCATACGAAATTACCTACTAAACTTAATTCCAAGTAATTAATTGTAATGTCTGCCCCTTCCTTTACGGTTTCTGAGTAACCGCATTGCGAGTAAACTACTTTCAGTCGGTTGATTGCTAATGACGAATGTTTGATCGATACGAGCCAATGGATGACTTTGGCGGGCGGGTAAGCAATAACGGTTGCCATTTCGATACATGGAAAGCTCGTTAGCCCCAAAAACCAGCCAGACAACACAATAAACAAAGTCAAAACCGAAAACTAAAAAAAAAAACAAACAAAAAATGCTGCATAACGGCACATCGCCAACGCTGTATTACTATTTCGCTGTTATCCTTGCACAGGTGCATTTGTTTTAAGGACTCGTTGTGCGTCAGCACTTGGTTTCAAGAAAATTTCTTTATTAATAATTGAATCGTGCAATTTGACTTTTTCCTAAACGCACACACATTAACAAGTTGTCGGGTACGCGGCGGGGGGTGGGGGAGCATTCGCAAAGTCACAAGTTGCAAATTTGTTTCTCTAATTAAAATAATCATTTGCTTTTATTATTACTTTTCCGATTGCAGGTCGTTTTAACTAGGACACACCTGTTGACGGCGGTGATTATATCCTTGAAGTAGTAGGACGAGAGCCGAAGTTGCCACATTGCGTTCAACAATAAAAAACATTTGACAATAATCCTTGCGGCCTGCAACGCAACAGCTTTAAAACAGAACAGCGCAAACATAAGCGGAATTAAGCTTTCCAAAAGCGCTGCGCTTTGCTTTCTAACTGCCATTGCCACGCATCTTTTTTACATCCTCAATCGTGATTCCGGAAAATGGGCCGCAAAATCACTGTTGCCGTTTCGACGCTCAATCAATGGGCGCTTGACTTTGAGGGCAACTTGGCGCGCATACTGCAGTCTATACTGGAGGCGAAGGACATGGGCGCTTGCTATCGCACTGGGCCGGAACTGGAAATAACGTAAGTTTAGAGTTGTAAGTTCAGGGGTGTTTTTTAAGACGTGTGGTTTTCAAATAGACAATATTTTTTTCGGAGTTGGTCTTTTTGATAGTTGCTACTTGATTTATACTCAGTCGGGTTCGCAGTCTCACAATGGACAGACTTACACCGGAACAAAGTTTGAAAATGGTGAAAATTTATTACTAAAATAATGGTTCGGTTCAAGTGACGCCTCTCACTCGGGAATTCCAGCAACCTTGGATTGGCCTCGCACCACGTTTACTTTAGTGGATTATGCGCATCCTCAGAGACGCAGGAGCACAGTATGCACGAAAATGACATTACTGCCGAAGAGCCAAAGTATCGAAGAAGGAGGGAAAGACTCCTTCTGCCAGCGCGCTCACAACTATTATGGCTGCGCTCATGGAAGAATTAGCGGACGGGTCTTGGTTTGCGGGCCTACACACTTTCCGTGAATGAGCTCAAAACGAGATGGCTACCGATCCCGATTTTAACAATAAAAAAGGGTGAAGCTCACTAAATGGGTACGTTAATAAATAAACAAAACTCTAACTTTTAGAGTGGTGAAAGTTCGTGAACCAGTGTAGAGGCGCCGTTACAACCTCGAAAGAAGGAATCGTCATGGTACATGGCGATTTTACACCTCTAGTTTATAATTTATGGGGTTATGTGAAGTCGCTTGTCTATACAGCTAACCCTGAGACCCTTGGCTACTAGGAAGAGAATATTTGGCGCGTTTGTAACTCTCGACTGGTGTTTGCTCGAGCGCCGGTAAAAATACAACCTAATGGCAAACCCAAACTCTACAAGTCGCTCATCATACCCGTCCTACTATATGGCACAGAAGCGTGGACAATATCAAGACCTGATGAGTTGGCTCATCATTCATTGACCTTTGCGCATTTTCAACGGCATATACCGCAGACGATGGAACGATGAGCTGTACGTGCTATATGATTATATTGACATAGTCCAGCGAATGAAGAGGCAGCGGCTACGCTGTATCTGTCATGTCGTCCAAAAGGACGAAGGTGCTCCAGCTTTGAAAGTACACGGTGTGGTAGCCGCCGGTGGAAGCAGAGGATGAGAGAGACCTCCACACCGTTGAAGAATCAGGTGGAGAGCGACTTGGTTTCACTTGGTATTTCCAGCTGGTGCCAACGGTGAAAAGAAGAGACGAATGGCACGGTAATATTGATTCGGCTATAATTGCGTAAGCGGTAAAAACGCCTATAAAAAAAAACAAAGAAGAATGTCAAACCCTTATCTCTATGATAAAGCAAAATTGTTGGCCACAACAATAAATTATATGCATTTTATTTCTACTTGAAAAGCACATGTCTAAAATAAACACCCTTTATAAATTAAATATTAAGGAACATTAATTCTTATTTTCATACCGATTTATTTTCAGTGGTTACAGCTGTGAGGATCACTTCTTCGAACCGGACACATATCTACACTCATGGGAGGTACTCCTGGAGATCATGCTCTCGCCGCTTTGGTAAGAAGGTTATAGCTTGTTATTTACGAATCAAATCTAACGCCGCTCACCAAATTATTGTAAACAATAGAGGGAGGAAAATTTCACGCCTAAAAGCCTGCCTTTGAGGGAACAGTTCGAAATTTTCGCAAGTGTAGTGTTATGTGTGCTTTTTTTGCAGCATAATTTTAGGCATATTTTTCACAAGAGTTTCACAATTTTTATATAGTTCTTGGGGTTTAAAATATATAATAATATAAAAATATATTTATCTTTCATGTTTTACAGCGAAAATATGCTCATCGACGTTGGCATGCCCATAATGCATCGTAATGTTGCCTACAATTGCCGCGTTGCCTTTTTCAACCGCCAAATATTATTGATTCGTCCCAAAATGGCAATGGCCGATGATGGTAATTATAGAGAGTCGCGTTGGTTTACTTCCTGGACAAAGGTATGTAAATTAAATTATTTTTCATAACGATCTTCCCGAGATATGCACAGAAGTTCAAAATTATTTTCTCTCTTCCTTTTCTTCCTTAGTCTCTTCAAACGGAGGAACATTATTTGCCTCGCATGATCTCTCAGCATACTGGTCAAACTTCGGTGCCTATTGGTGATGCAGTTATTGCTACCAAGGACACATGCATCGGTTATGAGATTTGCGAGGAGTTGTGGAATGTGAGAAGGTTAGTTCGATTTGAGTACCGTAAGTTTGTTAAATTCCTTGCAAGAGAGTTGAGTTAAGCAGATGCAACGCTCTTGGACCCATAGACACATTGTGAAACCGCTGTGAAGCTCCTTTCACCTTTACCTTCTCAGATGTGCTAAACTTTAAGAGTGACTTATAAAAGCAACGAGATTGCCTATTTCTGCTGGAGCTAGCTCCCGATATACTTGCGTCGCACAGATCTGTTGGCTGGACAGTGACAGTGGTAGTACTCAATGTGCACTTCACCGTCTTTGTCCACACAGCTGCTGCAAAAATCATTCTAGTGAAAGCCCATCCCTTTCTAGTGAAGCCCTATAAAACAGTTACCTGTTACCTGGCACATTTTTCGTAATAGGGGTAAAATGCCTTAGCTCATTCATCCATCTCGTGTTTGCTTTTTCGGCGAAGGTCAGCTCGCCGTAGACAGAGGCATTGTTTATAGTAGTTTGAGGGGTTCCTTTTTTGTATGGGATGTCCTTGTGTCTGGACTCCCAGATTGCATCTAATTGAGAGTTGGTTCAGAGTGATTTTATACCACCACCACCTCTCATTACATACCTCTACACTGTAGAGATGTAATAGCAGCTTGACTGTTGGAATATGTCGTGACTGATTGTCCAGCTATCGTAGATATGAGCAGCCACTCGGTGACTTCCATGATTGTAAAGAGTTCTGCTTGGAAGAAGCTGAAATGGTCTGTTAATCTCATACTGATTTCACAGTCCGCTTTGTCACCGTGTTTTGAGCCCTCTGTAAAGATAGCAATAACTCTCTCATCAAGGGCTGTGTGATACCCAGATGAAGGTGAACAGACTACGAAACTCCTCATAGTCATCCATTAGAGATGGCTTAAAGCTGTAGGTACCTCCATTTGTTCGACAAACGCGCAGACCCCATAATGTATGGCCAAGGCGAGTAAATTAGTGAATCTCATTGAGCTTGAGTTGCTGTAGGTTCAACTAATTTTTTTCGTTGGGGTTAGGCCCTATGGAAGTTTGTAATGAATAAGTGGGTTTGAAAGGAAACAAAAGGTGGATAATTGCATGCTATATGAGCTCATTTCTAATGTAAAAAGTATCTAAGCTAGTCACGAGGCTTTCACACCTAAAGAGTGTCGACGATTTTAGCTACCAGTGTTAGGTGGGAGTCAACTTTTCGGCATTCGTTATGACCGAGATGGACACATGAGTTAACTCGAAATGTTCTGCAATCAATGTACATAAATCCATCTCTACTTTAGCTCATCTCCAAACCAACTCAGTTCCATGATCGTTCGGCTCATGAGTGCTTCTAACGCTTGTTTCTTTTCAGCAAACATATTGATATGTCACTGTCGGGTGTCGAAATTATCGTTAACGGCTCCGGCTCGTACATGGAATTGCGTAAAGCGCACATTAGCACCGATCTGATACGCAACGCTAGCTTCAAGGCTGGCGGCGCCTACCTCTTCAGCAATTTACGTGGCTGCGATGGACAACGCGTGTACTTCAATGGCTGTTCGGCTATAGCTATGAATGGTGAAATAGTTGCGCGTAGTAAGCAATTCGCATTGCAGGATGTGGTAAGTGTGAAGATTTGAGAGATCTCTCGAAACCCATTTCACTGCGAAGAAACTCAATTTTTATTTTCACACAGGAAGTCACCTTGGCCACCATCGATTTGGAGGAGATTCGCTCGTATCGCGCCTCACAACGTTCGCGCTGCACCTTCTCTGCCTCGTCGCCCAACCATCCACGCATTAATTGCGACTTTGAGATGTCCACGCACAATGATATCTTCAAAAGCGCCTCCACGCCTATGCAATGGATATATCATACACCCGAAGAGGAAATCGCCATGGGTCCCGCCTGTTGGCTGTGGGACTACCTACGTCGCTCCGGTCAAGGCGGCTTTTTCTTGCCACTCAGCGGTGGTGTTGACTCCAGCAGCTCTGCCACAATTGTGTACTCTATGTGCCGCATGATTGTGAATGCCGTGCAGGGCGGTGATGCTCAGGTGCTTCACGATATACGCAAAATACTTGCCGACTCTGAGTATACACCAGACAATCCGGCAACACTGTGCAATCGCTTATTGGTCACCTGTTTCATGGGTAGTGTCAACTCAAGCAAGGAAACACGTCGTCGCGCTGCACAGTTGGCAAATCAATTGGGGAGCTATCACATTGAGATCAGCATCGACACTGCCGTTAACGCATTGCTGGGTATCTTTAATGCGGTCACTGGCTTAACACCGCGTTTCCGCACTCAGGGCGGTTGTGCGCGTCAAAATCTCGCTTTACAGAATATACAGTCGCGCATACGCATGGTTTTGGCTTATATGTTTGCACAGCTGATGTTGTGGGTACGCAATCGGCCAGGCGGTTTGCTGGTGCTCGGTTCAGCGAATGTGGATGAAGCTTTGCGTGGTTATATGACGAAATACGATTGCTCATCGGCGGACGTGAACCCTATAGGCGGCATTTCGAAAACCGATTTGCGCCGCTTTCTCAACTACGCGAAGGAGAAGTGAGTTTCAGGCCCATCTCTTTCGAATGTTAATAGACCTAATATTCACTTGAAAATTGCAGATTTAATTTAACAGTCTTGGAATCTATTATTGAAGCACCACCCACTGCCGAATTGGAGCCCTTACAAGATGGTAACCTCGTTCAAACCGATGAACAGGATATGGGCATGACTTATGCTGAGCTGAGCGAGTATGGACGCTTGCGCAAACAGGCCTGTTGTGGACCATACAGCATGTTTTGTAAGCTGGTGGCCACTTGGCGAGCAGATATGAGTCCCAAGGAGGTATGTGCAGAGAGTTGATGGCGTTACAGGTCTCTAGGGAACATCTAGTCTTCTGCGGCTATGTAACCTATTACCAAATGGAATCCCTATAGCCGAGTGTTTCCTTCTAAATATGCAGTTAGTAGACATAGTTAACGCTACGGTAGTAGAGATATTCCTTGCACTGCATAGCATTATGCTTTTTAGCCGGAGCTCTGCATTGTTAATCATTATTTACTACTTCAACTCTGGCGGTCGTGAGAATTAAACAATGTCCGATGTTATCATGATTGATTTTTGCTGTGTTATTAGGACGTTTTTCGCACCGGACATGAGTTATCATAAAGGCGATTCGGCAACTGGTTAACCACCAAAAGAAGATTGTGATATTCCTTACAGGACCACAGGGGAAGGATAGTTCTAGCATACTCAAAGGCTCTGCCAATCAAAAGGTTCTTTCGTCCTCCAAATCACTGTACATTGTCTCTTTAACTTTTGTCATCATGAAAGGGTCTGGGTATGTCCCTCTCTATGTGTAAGCTCACTGTTAGACCTAAGGCATTTACTTTGCGAATGCCCGGCACTCTGGGGAAGTAGCGGCAACTTTTAGAGACTTGAGAGACCACTCTGTGGTGGGTGTTATTGGGATCCCCACTGCTTTTACAGTGGGCCGATGTGGTGGCCTAAGCTAGTTGATGCCCAGCAACCTCTTCAATCTTACCTAACTTAACCTTTGGTCCTGCGATCTGTCCTCTAGTGCAACCAAGCTCAGGACCACTGTCAAATCAATCACCTGCTCTACCCAAGCAGACGTGATGGCCTTGTGGAAATTTTATATGAGGAAGTGTAGCTGACTTTTCAGACTCAATAGAATCAAACCGAGTTAGAAATTAAGGAGGATATAAGGAAGGCTAAAGCTTCGAAATTCAACGACTTTTACGCCAAAGAAATATGAAAGATTTAAGAGAATAGAGAGTAATAATAATAAGGAAAAGGAAATGATTAAGAACCATTAAACAGAAAAACAGAATGGATAAAAGACAGATGTAAAGTAATATTTTACTGAAGATTTATAAATAACAGTTAAAAGAAAAGGGAATTTCTGCCAAATAATATATACATAACAGAGAATGAATAAAATATAGGAAATTTTAAAAAATATATGTTTGATATTGAATGTATTGGACACTATAAAGTGGTTGTAGTTTTCCCAAAGTACGCCTCATATAATTAATCTTTTTCTCCTCCCATTTCAGGTTGCCGACAAAGTGAAGCACTTCTTCCGTTGCTACGCCATCAATCGTCATAAGATGACGGTTCTCACACCATCAGTGCATGCCGAAAGCTACAGTCCCGACGATAACCGCTTCGACCATCGTCCATTCTTGTATCGCGCCAATTGGAGTTGGCAATTCAAAGCTATCGATGATGAGGTGGAAAAACTACAACCCAGCTATACACCCACCTCAACGCACAGGCGTCCCAGTAGCGATGACTTGTTAACACATGAAGCCAGCACCATACATCATTCCTTGCATCGTTCATCACATTTGGATTCGAAGAACTCATCACCATTGTCGTGTTCTTCCATTGATGCTGCCGGCGCTGGTCCCAGCGGTAGTATGGGTACTTTGGGTAAAAAGTCGAGTGGCTATTCGAAAGTGCATGTAAATGTGCTCGGCAAGATTAAGGATCGCACTGGTATACCGGTTTAGGACATGTGGTGCGAGGAATGGCGTTTCGAAATTTGTCTTACAACGAAACGGGTGAACAGGTAGTGGGTGAGAAGAAGCAGTTGAAAATGGAAAGAAACGAAAGGAAGCAATTACCGCTACTTACATTTACAAATACAAATTTTGTTTGTCAATTAAAATATGCGTATTTAAGTTTAAAAATATTTAAGTTTCCTTATTTGCAGTCCTTTGCGACGTTTTTCCTTGCAATTTCAAATACCAGTGACCTCAAAATGGTGTTAATTATCTAAAAACATTTTGTTTACTATATTTTTAAAATCAATATTTTGTTTACTATATTTTTAAAATCAATATTTTTTTAAATCGTTCCTTAATTTTATTGCTATCCTTGTCAAGCATCAATACAAAAGTTTCCCGAATACAAAATTTTATAAAAATAAAAAAAAATTATTATTAAACTGAAATTGAACAAAATGTTAAATTAAAAAAAAAAAAACACAATAAATAAACTAAAATATAATATATTATAATATAATATAATATAATATAATATAATATAATATAATATAATATAATATAATATAATATAATATAATATAATATAATATAATATAATGAAATAAATAAAATAAAATAAAATAAAATAAAATAAAATAAAATAGAATAGAATAAAATAAAAGCAAATAAAAGAATAAATAAATCAAAATAAACCAAAATTAAATAAAATAATATAAAATAAAATAAGATAATGTTGAAATACACTTCATATGTAATCTGCGCGTTTGTTTTTGGTCGGTCTGAAATCGGTTCTTCTAATAAATAAAATAAAATAAAATAATATAAAATAAAAAATAAAATAAAATAAAATGATATTAAATAAAAAAATGAATAAATAAATTATATAGTTATAAAATAAATATAATAATATATAATTAATAATAATAATTTAAATAATAAAACATAAAAGAATAAAATTAAATTATATAAAATGAAATAAGACATTTGTCTTACAACGAAAATAAGATAAAATAAAATGAGACAAATTAAAATGAAATAAATTAATATAAAATAAAATTTAAATAAAATGAAATCAAATAATATATAATAAAATAAAGGAAACAAGAAGCTAAAAAAGTTAAAAAAAATTAAATTACCTTCAAAAAAATAGATTAAATTAAAATTATATTAAATTAAACAAATAAATAAAAAACAAACAAGATAGAATAATATGAAGTAAATTAAACTAAAAACGAACTAAAGTAAAATATGGTAAAATGAAATAAAAGAAGTGAAATTAATTAAAATAGATTAAAATAAAATAAAAATATATATATATATATATATATATATATATGTGTATGTATATTTAATACATAAAATAAAATGATATACACTGAAATAAAATAAGATTTAAATTATATTGATTTAATAATAAATTAAGATAAAATAAAAACGTTACTAAATTAAAATTAAATTAAATAACATAAAAAAATAAAAAAATTATTAATTAAAATAAAATAAACAAAACTGTCATGTAAAATAAAATTTAAAAAATCGTTTAAATAAAAAATAAAATAAATAAAGTAAAACAAAATAATGTTGTTGAGCTATGAAAATTTTTTTTGATAAATTATCTAAACAATTCCAAATTATGACGCCAAACCTTTTAATTTACCAAAAAAAATTGTTTAGAGTAGTCTTGTTGAAACTGGCCTTCATTTGTTAGTTATGCTAAGTGATTTATGGACGCTTTCTGTTATGTATACTTGAAAACATCTTAAAACAATATTTTGTTAATAAAAAAATAAAAAAATTCTTAATATCATAATATGAATAAGTTCTTATATATATACACAAATGCCAACAATAATTCACCAAATAATGACTTATATAAACATAAAAAAAAATTAAATTTCTTTATTAAAAGTTAAAACACATTATGTTTGTAAAACGCTCTATGTTCCTTGTTAAATTCATATTTGAAACTTGAAAGGAAATAATTGAAGATTAAAAGTATCTTATTGTTTCCTTTGTAAAAATAGAAACTTGTTTTAAATACATTTTTTTTTAATATTTTTGCTTAATATTTTATCTATATCTTGCCTCGCCATCACACTACAATTCAATTCAGCTATCAACGAGATTAAAGGAATTGTTTAAGGAATTATTTTCCAACTATACACATAGTTGCATACATATATACTAATTATTTATAAGAATTTCAATAAAATCAACTAATAATTATAATCTTCAATAAAGAAAATGTCTTACAACAGAACTGTTAGCTTACATTATATAACTTTAACATTTAAGCATCATTATTGTAAAGTAAAACAACAAACATAACAGAGAAGATATAACAAAAAGTGAAGAAAACGCCTTTGTAACTATCAAGTAGTAATACATAGTTTGTAGAAAACGTTGAATACCAATAAAAGTTAACTATAAATATGAAAAAAGAAAGATTATGAATAATTTCCACAGCATTTCCAAAGAAGACCAAGCAGAAAACCCGAAAATCAGGCTGCTTCTAGCTACTTTTTTGCTGCACTTCTCATTAAGAATCTGAAAAAGGAAGTGGTTGAGCCACACAACGATATTCTACAAGCCTTTCAGTTGCTTCTGTAACGGTTCGCTAGCTCTGTTTAAAAGCAGACCAAAGTAGTCGATGGCATCTAACGGGAGGTCGGGAAATCAACTTGTTCCGACAACCTCGCACCAAAGGGAGAACATCCGGGTTACATTTTTCTTTTTTAGAGGGCATTCGAGTTATACCTTTTAAGGTACATATGTATGTGTGGGTCAACTCTGTATGTAAAGGAACTTAGTCTTCTACAATGTTCAATTATATTAATTGCACCAGGGTCGTTTGGGTCCGGAGCTCTAAGTCTTAGGTTCTGGCGGAAAAGAACTTTCTATCGTACTGGCCTGCCGGACAGCTTTTGAGCTTTATTATTGTTTGTATGGTGAATAAATTGGCGCCACTATAAAATTGTAGCTGGTTTCACTTATGTGGTAAGTTTTCTTATTTGCTGTGTTTTGTAACAGTTCAGGTATCCATAAATCTTTTGTGGTACCTAGCTGAAGGTTGCAGGATAAAGTCACTCTTACACTTTACCAGGACCTGGACGCTATTAATATTAACTGCTGAACTCAACGGGGTTGTGTTGCCGGACGGTTGTTAGCCAATACCCAGATAAAATCAGGGACAATTCCAGTACGGCTTACCGCCACGCATCATCGAGAGTCCGTAAACACCTTTCTGCACTCTCTTCCAGTGAACGTGACGTACTCGGAGTCAAATCACCACCTATTGCAGACACAGAGCTCGAGCTGTCTCGAGAGTCCCACGCAATACTAACACAACTCAGATCTGGATATGGCAGTAGATTAAATTCTTATATATCCAGACTTGATCCTGACATAAGTAATGAATGCCCTGTTTGTAATGAGTTCACGCACGAGGCTTACAAACCATTTTCATACCCCGTAGAACCAACTCATCTATACCTCCTTTCCCTATGGTCCTAGAATGAACTATACTGCTCCTAAGCGGGATTAACAAATCGTTACAACAACAACATGATTGCGAGCTCTTCGTCTTGTTGAGGTAATATTTACTTGGATTCCGATGGTGCCTGGAAGGCAGCTTTGAGCAAATCTTTATTGCTTAATAGAATTCCTTTAGTTGTGTAATTCCTTTCTGACTTGACCGTGCGCAGTGTTGCTTCAAGCAGGTGTTTGCAATGGCGATCCCTTACCCAATCCAGAGCATATGTATGTGCCTAGCGGTGTAAATAATATGCAGGGAAAATCTGAAGGTTTCCTGTTATAATCCTCATAAGACGATGTTTCCCCAGGAAGAAAGTTGCTTTTTAATTTCTCTCGCTTACAACTGGCAACCAAAACGGGTCAGTACAATTCATGTCAATTTATGTGGCAGAGTTGACACGGTGGTGGTGATAGCTTTATGAAGGCGATGTACAACGTTCCTTTTACCCAAAAAAAAAGTTCGGGAAGCCAGGGGCTAGTAAGACGGAGTTACCAAAGGTTCGTAGTTCAAACAATTTCAGCATTATTAGAAAATTATTTGTGTTTAATTTTGCTACTAAAGTCTGTTTACATATTTTTCTTTAAATCCACGCAACTCCCGAGCAACGAAATTTTCAATTAAGAATATTTTTATACGAAATATTTTTTGTCTCAATGCGAACGCAACCTTAAATTGTGCCGTTTAAAAACGCCCAGCGACTTGCAGCCAAATGCTAATTCGCCCGCTAGTTGCCTATAGATGGCGCGAAGAGATGCAAGGAATTCCCTGTAAAGGATTAATTTTCGGCAGTTGAAGGAAAAAAAACGTAATTTGCTTTAAATATGTTTTTCATTTATTTTTGTTTTAAGTTCTCTTATTGAAATTTTACATACATATGTATTTTATTATAAAAATTTTTGCTCAAGACTTTCACATTTTTCTTTTTTACTTACTCAAGAGTTGAGCGAAAAACATTTTGGTCCACATGAGTTTCCATTTTATTTTAACTAATTTTTTTCCATTCTTATTTAATAAAAATCTGCATTTTACACACTAAGCATTGTGTACTTTGTGCTTATTATTATGCATATACATATTTACTTTCTACAGAATGCAAATGCCATTAGTAAATAAGAAAAAAAAAACAGAAAAAGGGCAGCCTTTTGCCATTTAAGCCTAATTTAAAATTTCGAATTCTAGACTAAGTACAAAAATGCTCATAGATGTTATACTATACATATGTATATGTGAATGTTCATTAAAAAAAATTGTTTGTAATAAAGCTAAATGTTATCAACAAATGTTTGAAGACGAGAATAACTGAGTAGAGAATCGGTTGACATGAGCTAGTGAACGAGGTGAGTTAGCGTAATAAATGTTGGAATGGTGGGTATTGTTGTTGTTGTTGTTAAGAGGCAACTATTGCCACTATACGACTAATTAATTTAATAAAAATAACGACTAAGCGAAAATGTAGCCTAATTTTCTTTTATCTTATTATGTTTGTATGTATGTGTGTCGACTTATGCTAAAACCATCACCATTTGATTGCACAATAAACCCGATTATTTAAAAATAAAATATCATTTGCGTCAACTGCGTGAGATGGACAACGGCGGAGGAGGAGGTAAGAGGAATTTGTCACATGAATGAGATGAAATTGAAAAATTAAATATAGACAAAAAAAAAACGGAAAAATATAAAAAAAATAATTTGTACCAAAAATACAAAAATATGAATTATAATAATTGAAAAAAAAAAAAATATTGATAAAAATGAAAAAAAAAATCATAAAAGCATTTAACTTAATCAAAATTATAAAAAATTTAAATCAAATCAAAAAATTAATTTGACAAAAAAAATCAAAAGAATGTAGATAAAACATTTTCTGCAGAATTTAATTTAACAAAATTTGCAGATAAATAAGAATAAAGAAATATTAAAAAAATCACAAAAAACTTGAAAAAAAGAAATCATATGAAAATTGACAAAAATTTTAAATAAAACTATAAAAATTTTAAGCTAATTTAATTATGTAAAAATATTTATTTAAAGAGAAAAATTGTTTCAAAATTTTTTTAAAATGTCATAATAAAAAAGTTTAATTTAATTTAAAAAAGAATTAATTAATTAAATAATGTTTGAAAATTTATTTAAAAAAATTTTATTTCAAAAATTAGACTAATAAAATTAATTTAAAATTTTATAATAAAACAGTTTAATTTAATTTAAAAAAAGAATTTAAATTAATTTAATTATGTTTGAAAGTTTAATTAGAAAAATAAAAACTTTAATTAAAAAAATTATTTGAAAATTTATAAAAAAAAATATATATTTTAAAAGTAAACAAAATTATTAATTAAGAAGAATGTCACAAAATAAGGTAGATAAAAAAAATTTTACAGAAAAAATTATAAAAATTTTTATTTAAATTATTATTGAAAATCAACTTGGAAAACTACATAAAAATTCGATTAAAAAAATTATAAAAAATGTTTATTTAAAAATTTAGTTTAAAAATTAAAAAAATAAAATTAATTTAAAAAAATATAAAAATTCATTTTTAGAAGTTTAATAAAAACTTAAAAAAAAGGAAAAAAAAGCTTAAAAATAAAAATTTAAAAAATTGAGCTGAAATAATTAAAAAAATTAAAGTTAAATAAAAACCAAAAAAAAAAAAAAAATGGATCAAATTACAAAATCAAAACTAATTGCATACAAACTTAAAAGATATAAAAATAAAGATAATAATGAAATATAAGAAAATATTAAAAAATATTAAAAAAAAATTAATTATTATAATATATTTTTCTGTTTTCCTTTCCTTCTCCTCCTCCTCCTCCTCGTATCCCAATCTCATCGATTTAATGTACTTCTTTCGCCATTTTAAACCTTCGCGCATATATTGCTGCTCATAAACAAATTTTGTATTAAATAAAAAATCGCAAATATTTGACTCAATTAATTTTTTTGTTGTATGAAAATTAAGCCTTTATTAATTTTATATATTTATATACCGTAAATATATTTATATATGTATGTATGTATGTATATATGTGTAGGTGTATGTATACTTAAGCTTGTAATGTGTATAAGGCGCGTATGCATCTTTGTTTGCAACTTAAAATTTAATGCATTACTAGTAAAAAGAAAAAAAAAAACAAAAAACAAAAAAAAAATCTTAAAAAGAAAACAAAATTTATAAAATGTACGCAAAAAAAATATACCAACACATTCTTTTTCTTTTTGATGTTTAATGTTTGTGTGCATGTAGTATTAATAATTAATGTAATGCAGTAATTAAACAAGAGATTCAAATCAGTACAAATTGGTGGTTTCACTTATTTTCTCGTTTACTTTCTCAAAGTACACACTTAAATGCTAAATTAAGACTATTTTTTGTTTTGAATTAAGAATATTATTAAATATTTAAAGCTTAGCTTAACACAATTGCGTTTTTATATTATTTATTTTTTTTCAATTGCCTCATTTATGAGCAGCAAAAAAGCCATACGCTAATTATTAGAACTCTTTTTGTTTTTTTTTGTTCATTCAAGTCTTGTTTCGTTATATAACGAAACGCTTACAATTTAAAGCCTAAATGTGTGGATTGTAAACTTTCAAAATATATATACAATGATATGAAGTGCACTTCTTGTTGCTTGCTTTATTTTTTTTTACTTAATAGATCATTTTGTTTTAATTATAAATTACGCCTCTTTACACTTGTTGTTGCTGTTTATATTTTCATTAATTCATTTATTTGCAATAAATTATATTCAAATTAAAATGAATAAGCAAAAAAAAGATGAAGAAACTAATAATTTTTTTTCTTTGAAGCTATAAATCAATATGTGATTCTTTATAATGCTATATATGATGAATAATAAATTAAATGGTTACATTTTAAAAATATTTGACAAGTAAAAAAATTTTTAATTCAAAAATTAGATCTGAAAAAAAATGAATTCAAAGCTTTGCCATGAAAATTAAGTAGTAAAAGATAAATTATTTTTTACTTCAAATTAAATTATTAATTTATAGATATTTAATTTACAAACTTAATTCCTACTCTTCGATTAGAAGCATAATTATTGCTCTTTCGCAACTACATATAAATATATATACAGTATACTATTTTTGAAAAAAAAGCATTTTCCCCTTCTAATGTAACTGCAGAATTTTCTATGCTCCACTAGAGAGTTTCAGTTTAACTTTACACCGTAAAAACCTAATATATTACAGACTTAAAAATTAATGAGAATTAGTTTTAAACGCAGTGTTACAACTTAAATGACTTCAAATTCTCTAATATAAATATACAATAGTAGCTAAATTTATACTTAAAAGTGAATATTTCGCCTAACCATATATGTATGTTTGCATGTTTGTATGTTTCAATAAATATTTGAAAACTCTGCTAATCAATTTGTTTACTGCAGGCCAGGCCATGGGAAATTAAATGCTTTAAAATAATAATATACAAATTCCTGTGACTAAATAAAACACATTAAACTAAAGACTTCGTACTAGGCACCAGCCTGCAGCGATAATAAACAAGTTTTGTAGTAAAAAAAATGTAATTATAAAAGAACAAATTCACAATCAAAATATTTTGCCAAAAATAAGGTTAATCAAAACTTAACTGAAAACGCTTTCAATAATCGTAAAGTGTTAAAAGATTCGCAAAATATATATATACATATATATATATATAATCTCCTTTTCTCGGCAGTTTTTAGAAAACTCAAATATGTCAATTGAACTAACTACATTTGTAAATACTTATATATGTATGCGTGTATATAAAGATGGATATGCATTAGTGGTAGTAATGCTAACAGATTTCATTTCTGTTCGAATATGTGCAAGCCCAGCAACAAAAATCCTATTTAATTGTGCACAGGCATTGGCAGTTGACCCAGCAAATTGTTGGCAAATTGTGAATTGGTAAATTTAAAATGACGCTTATCGTAAAATTTTAACAATGCAGGTGAATACGGATGATTTTCCTTGAGGTGTATGTAATGCACTTCCGGTTCACATGTCGTGTGACCGCACTCCTCACAAACGTACATCTGTAAATGTGAAAAAAAAAAAAAAAATTATAAAATGTTTATGGTAAAATAAATTCCCACCCCCTCAAGCTTTAGTCACCCATGTCTTACCTTAGCGCGTCGCTCTTTATACGCATATTGATGCTGCACACTGTGCACTTTGAGGCAATGAGATTCCAACGAACAACGCTGTGTGAAACTCTTCTCGCACAAATTACACTTATACGGTCGTACGCCGGTATGTGTACGCGTATGACGTTTCAAATCGAAAGTATCATTGAATCCTTTGCCACAGAATGTGCATAGATAACGTTTGATTTCCGAATGACATTTCATGTGACGATTCAAAAGGCGTTGCAATGAGAAGGCCTTCAAGCAAATGCGACAAACAAACTTGGAACCTTCACCAGCACCACAACCGCCACTGTCCGAGCCATCAGTACTAACATTGCCACTCTTCTTCAAATCATCCACACAATCAATACTGCGTATGCGATGATGGCCGGTATGAGTATTCTCTACGGCGAGCGGATTTTTAATACCATGACCGCCATTGACAAATTCCAGTTGCACTTCGGGTGGTAGGCCCAACTGTAAAATTTGGAAATAACAAAAAAAATATATATAAAATTATTGTTATTATTGTAATTTTCCAAGTAGATAGTTACAAAACAAGTTCCTTCGGCGCACAATACAATTACATATCAAATCAATGTTATTCGATTTAACAACAACCATTAGAGTAAAGTATGTCTTGCAATTAATTAGCTATGTACAGTTCCCCTTAAAGATAAAAATAATTATGTATTTACATGCAGCAGATATTTACATAAAAAACATTGGCCACGCAGAGATTTAGATACAATGTGGACCCACGAAAACGAGATACGAAATCTAGATACATTTGTATAGTATATTTGATTGTCCTTTTTACAAGGTGGATACACATAATCTTCAATCGTAAGCATCAAAGTTGTGAAAAATATATTAATTTTAATTTAATTTAATTTTAATTTAAATGTTGGATATTTATTATAACATAAAAATATATTATATTTATATGCATTATTTTATCGATGAACTTTATTCTTAAAACACCAGCCAGGAGAGGATTGATGCTAACATTGTTTAAGTGAAGGCACTTTCAATAATAATCTATTTTTAAACACTTTTACACAAGAAAATGTTTTTTGGGAGAAATCCCGTTTGGTGTTCTTTAACCGAATTTTGCAAATCGTGCACTGAACTTAATTTGAAACTAATTATTTATGCCAGCTTTTTTTTCTTTTTTTTTTTTTGAAATGTAAAATAATAACGAATTTTTCACAACTCTGATGTGTACTTAAAAAACCGTAACTCCAACACAATATACAGTTTTATAGCATTCAAACAAAACGAAAAACAATCAAACGATAGGACAAATGGCTATAGTTTTGATTTCTGCTTTTGCCTTGACTTTGATGCTTACCCTCTGCTGTAGCACTTTGCTTTCGTGCAGCATTGCGACAGTGGGTGATGGTGGCAATATGCCAGCGGCTGTTGCTGCCGCTGCGGCAGCAACACTACGCAATGACGCTGTCGTCACCATCGATGTCGAACCACAAGAAGAACTTGTACTCAATTTTCTACCACCCAAACCGCCAGAACTTGCATTGGAACTGCCAGTCGAATGTGTGGGACTTACGCTTTGTATTAGGGGTTTGGTGTCGAGCAACGCTGTGCTGGCGTCGAGCAGGCCGGAAGTTGAGGCGCCCGAAGAGTTGCTCGCTGCCGAAGACATGCCGTGGTTTGCTGATATATGCGCTGCATTCGGTGAGGGTAGTGATAAATTACTATTATCACTGTTGTGATGATGATGATGTTGCATATGATGTGGCGGTATGTGATGTGGCTGCTGTTGATGGTGATGCTGCGCTGAACCATAGGGGTGGCCATGCTGTTGGTATGTATGTTGTTGCGGTTGTTGAGCCAGCAACATTGGTCCGCCGTGTTGCATCATAGAACTCGCTTGATGTTGTTGCTGATGGTAGGAGTGCTGTTGCTGTTGTTGTTGTTGCTGCTGCATTTGCATTAAATCACGTGTCGCATGTTGATAAGACGGTGGAGGTTGTTGTTGTTGTTGCTGCTGCTGATGATTCATACTAAGTGATTCGTTGTTCATATGCTGTTGATTACCATTTGTATGTGGTTGGCGCTCGAATGGATAAGTTGGCATGTTACCATTTTGATTGCTACCAATATGATTGCGTGAAATGTTGTTAGTTATTTGCTGTATAAGACTCTCGTGAAACGAATCAAGATGACTTGAGTTTGTGTTGTCCACTGGCGTGATGGATACTGAGTCTGGGGTTAGCGACGGTGTGGAGACGAGTTCGAAGTCTTGACGGGGACTAGTCGAGTTCTCGTCATCCACACATTCACGTTGAAGGAAAGAGCTTAGATCGACCGCATCAGACAGCTGTTCCAATAGATGATCGGTTTGCGAACTGAGCATGAGAGTCGCAGTGAATTGTAGTGGATCCACAGAGCCGTTGGGACCTTGTGAATTAGCCAAATCCGACATAATCGCATCTTCGTAGGCCGCTGCATTGAAATTACCCGAATTCCCCATTGTCGCTTGGATTATGTTTTGCGCGAACGCACCAATGTCGATTTTGGCCTCATCATATTCGATATCAGGTTCGTCCTTCAGTATGATGCCGTAAGCTGATGGATTATTACCATAAGGTTGATGTCCATGATGGTGATGGTGATGATGATGATGTTGTGCAGAGGAAGAAGAATTATTAGTATATTTATTATTTTGCGCATGCGCAGAATAATTTGTGTTACCCTGGCCATTAGCAAATGTTGTAATTTCCAAACCACCGCCACTACCATCATTCACACCACTACACACATTACCGACACCGCTTCCATTCGTTGGACTGCAGTCTATGTAGCTCGACGATTGTTGCTGACCATTGACACTGTTTCCACCTGAAGCTGACATTAAATATGCCGCAGCTGCTGCATTTTGTATAAGGAAATTGGAATTTCCATTAAAATTTGATGATGATGATGACGATGAATTCATGGTGTTGCCACTTTTCAAACTTTCGTAGAAAGGAGGAAGAGCACCTGAAGGTGGGGAATTTGGACCGTAGTTACTGCGACCGTCCCGACCGCCTCCCATACCACCACCTGCACCACCGCTACCACCTAGGGCTCCGCCAAAGCCAGTAGGTGAACCTGCACCTCCGCTTGGGCTTTGATTGTTGCCACTACCTGAACTGTTATTTCCGAATCCACTAGAACCTTGGAAACCCTGTCCACCTGTTGACGATGTACGACCGTGTCCCGCTGCTGCAGCTAAGATGCCAGGTAGACTGCGTACTAAACGTGGATTAAGACGGGCTTGTGCAAGCACAGCTCGCGCTGCCAAAATTGCGCTTCGGCGACGAGCTTCACGTAATTTACGTTCACGTTCTAAACGCTTTGCATTTAGTGAATCTGCTTGTTCCTCGTCACTATCGAATGAGGCCGAACGCCGTTTAGGCACGTGATAGTCAATAGGTTCCTGTTGTTCGGGACCCAAGTGCTCAAGCGTACCAGCTGGCAGTAAAACCTCGTGTTGATTTTGTCGTTGAGGTAATGTTGGCGCTGGTTTCGGTGTACGTTGAATAACACTGCACCTCACTGCTGGTTCTGGTGGCGGAGGGGGACTTGGACGCTTCTCCAAAGGTGGCGGCGTGCTACGCAGGCGCAATGAAAGTGGTTTGTCTTCAGGCACCAATGGTTTTTCATCAACAATTAGTTTCGAACCGTCTGAATCTGAATCAGAATCACTGCTGCTATCTTCACTTGGAGTGTCTGAAAACCGACGACTTACTACTTCTACGGGATATTCTTTACGTTGAGCTTGTGTTAATACAACACCGCCACTGTATGGCTTATTACCGCCTAAAATCGAAGAATAAAAACGAGGCTTTCCTGTGTGGATTGTTAAATCTTGAACCTCTTCTACACTTTCAACACCCAATTTTGAACTTTTCAATTGTTCTGTTTTTGGTGATTGAGTTAAAGAATCCCCTTGCGAATCCTTTTTGCAGTCTTCAGTTTCTTGAACAACACTATCCAAGCCAGATGCAATGCACGGCGAGAGTGTTTTGTAAGGAGGTGATTGTGGTTGGGTAGTTGTGATAGATGCGTGTGGTAGTGAAGATGTAGCAGCTTCTGTGGTTTCTGCTTCCGCTGCCGAAATTGGTACTGCTGGTGATAAACGTTCGTTTTGTCCAATTGCAGTTCCACCAACTGAAAAATAAAAAATTAAAATTATTTTATTAAAAAATTGCATAATTATATATATTACATATATATATTTCTAGAAAAACAGTGAAGTGCAACTGTACAACTTTTCCTGGAATTAACGGGAGCACAGCTATAAGATGGGATGTTCCTGTAATTAACGGGATTAGACTGATATCTAACAAAAACTATGTGATTAAAAATCTAAATATTTTACAGAAACTTTATTGACTTCTAAATGACCTTCCGTTCTTTATAACGGTTCCGAAACTATTATTTATAAGAAATTTTTTGATATTTTATTTAACTTTTCAGTTAACTGCGCACTAGACCAACTGGAATTTTAAATAACTGTTTCCCTGTCTAGACAGGTGGAATTGTTGCCACATAACTGTTTGTGGGAATGATTAAATATTATTGACAAATTGCCAGATGTGCAAGATTTTAATGCATTTTTTCAATTGAGAATATTGGGAGGACGACAGTTAATTGCAGGAAAAAATTTCCTACTTAGTTTTTTTAGAAACGCAATAAACTTAAAATCAAAAGATATTTCCATAAAATACAATAAACAAGCAGTTTTCTTTAATTACGCCGTTAGGTCCAATAGTTACAAAAGCGCAAACAAAATATAGGTTTTTAATTCACTGTTAGCATTTTATGTGTATATATTATAATTAATTAACGCACATGGGATTCTCTCCTGATACGGATCTCTGGAATGTACAAATGTGCCAAATTGCGGACTGGGAAGGAATGAGTTACCCATCCCAAACAGCTCATAAGTTTTAATTAAAACGCAAAAAGGCGTATTGGGCGTCATTGTCACTTCAATATTTTTATATTTAATGCACTAAATATCTTTCTGAAACCATTCAGTTGTTTAATAAATATGAAACTATCATTTGGATTGCACATTTCGAGTTGCAGTCTACTGAAATCACGTTATCACTAAATTTAGTAAACAAACGGATTTAAAAACGGCACAAAGAACTGTTGGTCCAACATGTGCAGTACTTGTTTTGAATTGCATTGTACTAGATTACTATAACTGAATAAAATCCGTATGAATGAATTGTAATAGAGCGGGATGCTATCAGCTGGGAAGCAGCGAGCTCTACGGTGAAGTTTTCAAATAGGACTGCCAACATTAATTCCTAGTAAAATGTCTCGGAAAAGATGTAGAATTATACATTAGTACGGATATGCCAAGCTATATTTTCAGATTTTCAGATAACATATGCGTCCGTCTCCAATCCTATATGTGCTCAATATTGTAGAGTATATGGAGGTTGTTAAGCATGAGTGGTTCATTTACCAGACATTTTTCTGCACAGATTTGAATTAGTCTTGAGTCATACTTCTGAGCACTTTTAAAATATTTTTCTTTTTATAGTACATACATGAGTACTATAGTTCAATGAAGTACTTTCTGAGGTAGTTTTTTTGATAAAATGATCTTCCAAATGGTGATATGTTGTTTTGAAATTCGATCTGGATTATTTAAATATTAAAAAATCGGACTAGACTGTCATTTTATGTATTATATTTACATACATACATATGTACATATGTAGAATTTGTATTACCTAGCAATGACAACAGTAATAACGTGAAAGCTTTTTGGCAAGCTTGTAAAATTCCAAATGTTTTTATTGCACATACTGTGGTGAGAACTGTTTTTAAATTTGAAATAATTTAATAAAACTGAAGTGAAAATAAATGTAACAAAATTAAAATATTGAATTGACCGATTTGGTATGCATAGTAGGTACATACTTACGCATGTACATATATATGTATGTATGTACAATGCCGAATAAAATGCAAGTTTTTATAAATAATAGAAGTTAAGAAAAATATACATACATACGTACATGAAGGAGATTTAACAATTTTGGCTCTAAAACATGTAAGCAACCGTCGTGGGTGCACCAGAATGTATCTTAGTAAGTGAATTGTAAGTTGGTATATATTTATAAATATTTAATGAAGATGTTAATTGATTTATTTGCTTGTGTCAAGAGTGTAGCTACCTGCTCAGCCACTTCAACACCCATTTACAAATATCTTGCCATGAAAAGCATTCATATATGTATACATAAGTGCGCTGGGCATTGGATCGGTTGCGGTAAACTTACATAGACGCTGGGGTGGTGGAGAATAGCAGCAAGGCGAACAAGTTCAAAAGAAAAGTATAAAATGCAATAGAAAATGCAAAAATAGTTTTAAGAACCACAAACGGTGTAATGCATAGTTGAATTAATACAAATAAATAATGCATAAAGGCAAAGGCAAGGTTGAAAACTGGTATTGCTGCAATAGCCGACGGTCGCACTGTGGGAGGAGACTGTGGTGGCATAACAGCAACAAGACACAATGGCAATGGGTTGTTTTTATTTTTATGGACGTCGATATACTTGTTGAATGTAGTACCTAGTTGTTGTTGCTGCTTATGCTGCTTGTATATTTGAGATCAAGATCAAGGTTTTTCCCTCAGCTTCATGTACTGCCCCCTTACTGGTATGCTTGTAAGTTTTGTTATCTCTTTTGTTGTTGTTGTTTTTTTAAACAACTAGTTGTTAGTATACTGTGATGTGATGCCATAACAAACTTCTAAACAACGCGACTTAGAGATGTACGAAAATGCTTAACTTCGCTGGATCCAGCTGGGCTGCAACGTAAGTAAACTGCGCAAATCAATCGCACATACAAATATTTCAAGTATCTTTTTTTATCCTAGGAGGTTTGCTAGCGAATATTAAGAACACATAAACTAGTAAAAAAGACTAGCAAAGAAGACACCACTCGCAAACGTTTCCTTTCCGTTGAGTGAACGTACGAAAAATCAAAGCCAAAGTCAGAGTCAATGGTAGATTTAAAATCTGCTATGTATATATATATGTACATACTATATGTATGTACTCACTCATTCGAGTACTAGCCTAACAAAGTTTATTCAAAACCCGTGTTAAAAAGTATACAGCAAGTAAAAAAAAGCACTTTCAACAACAACGGATGGGGTATAAGAAGAATACGAGTAAAGTCATGAAAAGAAGCAGGCGAAACAAAGTTGGCAACCAACTATTACGTCTGTTTGGCTGGGCACGTTTTGTTTGGCCGTTGACTACGACCGCGACCATGGCGGCAAAGAGGCCTCGTATGTATCATCAGTCAAAGCAGGAGAATGTATCTAGAGGACAAATACATAAGCACGTTTGCATACATACATACATACATATATACTCATGCCACATATCAAGTAATAACGCTAGTGTGCGCGCATGCGCCTTGTAGTTGAATTTAAAATAGCTGACTAAAGAATTCCAAAGCTCATGCAGATATTGGACACAGTGGTAGTAGAAGAGCAACATCAGTGGTATAGGCCTAAAGAGACTACTAAACAGCGAGAAATGTATACATACATACATACATATATACACATATCGCGTGTGTAATATAACCAGTTTATCATTTCTAAATATATATTTGTACATACATATGTATGTACGTATATCGGCAAAGTGCAAGCGCATAAGAAGTGCACACAGTGCCATCACGCTAGAATGAGGTGTTGGAAGACTATCTCTGCTGTCGTTTGAATTATAGCGCCGTGTCGCTATATATTGTAATAAAAAAAATAATTATATAAATTGCACGTAAAGTGTTATAATTTGATTTTTATAAAAGTAAGAAGATAATGCCAATGAAATAGCGACGAAAAAATATAAAAAAGGCTTTAAATGCCGCAAAAAACAAAAAAAACAAAGATTTCGTATGTGCTACCATATAAATTATGGCATATTAAGTATAAGCCATAAATAAAAGTACTGTTGGTTTTTAGCGTTTTAAATTTTTGGTTAACATTTCATTGGCTCTTTCTTTTTGCTGAAAAATTAATTTCGTTCACAACACAATGAATTTTATTCTAATTACAAATTCTAGGCAGATCCCAGTGTGCTTGAACAGTAATCTAACATGGGTTGTACGTTGACTGGCAGTTTGCTGGTGGGTGCTGTGACTCGTGAATATGAACACGGCATGTTAAGTTACTTGTTATGTAGTGAATTTTGTTGTATGTATGTATGCATGCCAATATATATTTTGCATGTAAGAGAATATTGAATGAATTTATTCAAGCCAAGTCTGTAATGCTAGCAAATAAATTTTTCAAATAAATTGCATTAATTTGTATAGACTTACAAATATAAACATATGTATGTACATATAGAAGTGCTGCTAACAAAATGTATAACTACATATATTACATATACATATATGTACGAATATATATTTAAATGCATATAAAAGACAAAAGTAAACACGTCACAGCGTTGCACTTTAGTTTTATGACTTTAAATAAAATTAAAATTAAATTGTAAATGTCACTATATGTACGTGTAACAAACTGGTAGATTTATTAATAACTATTATTTTTAAGAATACCATTTTCCATTTGAACATATAACACAAAAGACTAATAAAAAGTTTTGCATAATCACTAAAGATTTTTACACATATTAATAAAGATGAGAATATGTGTTTGCCTGTAAGTGGAACGATGAATTTTATGCCCCTATAGAAGGTAGATGAATATGCATACTCGTATGTACATATGTAATCGCCATCCGTGCATAAATATAACTTCTTCAATATCAATATAAAATCATTTGCGGTAAGTACAGCCATCTTTTTTCAGACATAAAACTAAACAAGTTTTAAGTTTGACGGCTCATTATGGCTAAGCAAGTTATTAATTATAAAAATCATAAGTGGGATATATTTTATTTAATTAAAATGCATATTAATAACCACATGCAGTTTTTTTTTTTTTTTTTTAATTTCATATGTAGGTATTTATAATATAAAAATATATGTATGTACATAAGCACGAACAATTGCACTTGAAAATGAACTTCCTACTAAGCTTCTTAAACAGCTCAAAATTGTACGCTTCCGTTAGGATTTAAGACTCACTCAAAGCTAAAAGTTTACATAAGACTTCATTCTAAATTTTCTAAGTAGTTACTCGTTAGTTATAATAAACAGGAAGTCCTTTAAGTGCTTGTTGCTGCAATAATATGACAAGACTTCGTTTAATAAGGAAAAAAGCTTAAGTAAGCAAATGAAACATATACATAAGTACGAGCATCTGTATATCTATGTATCTAGGTACCGATGAACGTAAAAGCAAATTGAAAAACTATTTGCAAACCAGTCGTACAGCTTACCTGATGGTTTCGCGCAAACTCATCATTATCATGCCCACATATGTATCTACTCGTATCTATGTATATGCTTGCGCACATTTAATGAAGTAGGAATTTGTAAAGTAATGTAGCAGAAACAACATTAGATTAATTTCTGCAAATCATAGCCACGTTTTTGCAATTATGCCAAATCATTTATCACAATTTAATAACGCTTTAAACGGCTGCCAATATGTTTGCGAACATAAAGCGTCAGGAAAAAAATAAAATGAAATAAAAGCATGTAGAAATGTAATTCAAAATATGTAGATATTGAATAACTGGGTATTGATGTAATTTGGTGGCTGTGAGCTAATGTTGTTGCAATTAATAAAGCAAACTTTTCAAGTATATAAGTAAAGCATAAAATTGGACGAGTTCGGGAGTAAGAGTGTACATGCGAGGAAAGCTGACTTAGGCTTAACATTTAACGAAGCAAAGCATCTAAAGATATAAATAAATAAATAAATAAATAAATAAATAAATAAATAAATAAATAAATAAATAAATAAATAAATAAATAAATAAATAAATAAATAAATAAATAAAGGAACATAATTCTGCATATATTTAGAGAAGTAACAATCAATTTTTGGGGGAAGCATGGTTTTGCAGAAAAAAATATATATATGGTATGTAAATTTCTGCGTTTAACGAGCTTACAATTTAATTATTTGCATTAAAATATACAAAATAAAGTGCGTACTTGCAACCAAAAAAAAAATTCAATTTATGAGGCAAAGTTAAGAAATTAAATTGTAATTATTGTTAAAATTGGCAATAAATAACCGTTGTGTGCATACACTTGTCACAGACTCAAAATTGAAAATTACACATGTATGTGTATCGCAAACACTTGCATGCATGGCGGAAAAAACAAGTTTTTTTCTTTAATAAAATAAACTGAAAACTGTGATAATGGGGTAATTACTGCAATCAAGCCTTAAGGTCAAAATGATTTTATGAAGCAAAAACGCTGTAAATCACAGCTTTAAAGTTTATACGTAGCGGTAGCAAACCTATAAAATATACTACACATGAGGTAGTACCTAGTATATACATATGTGCATGTGTACTCGTATATCAGCACGTGAGCGACAAGTTGCCACAGCACGGCATGGCGTATGAGCAACGTACCGAACACAGCCATAAACGAGGAAAATCTTTATATATCAGCTTTTATTGCAATGCCTTTTTCACAGATAGTCTAAGAGTTAATAATTCGTTGAAAAAAATAATAATTGAAATTTTATCTCATCTCAAAAGCGTAAGCAAATCAAATCAAATAACAATAGATGCTTAACAAAATGAATTGGCTTGAGAAAAATTCGATTAAAAATGTAAAAATGCGTTTAAAATTGAATTTATTGCATTTGATATTAAAACAATTAAATGCAATTTGTGTACAAAGACATAAACATACACACATATGTATATACATACACATTGTTCGCTCAATGGAACAGCTTACAGTGTTAAGGTCAAGGTCGCTCGTTTGTAATGTGCAATTACACGCATTTCATGTACATTTATTTACGAGCTTATAAAAAATATGATTTAAAGCATATTTCAGTATATACATATGTTGCTTGTTGCAGGTGATTGCTATGCATTTTTAAGGAGGATAATGAAAATCCATCAAAATATATAGGAAATAAATTACACGACGAGTGTTGATTTACATACAAACAAAATTTACACACACACATACACCGACACACATACATATGTATGTAAGTGCAAATAGCTTAATGCAAAGACAAAATGTTCAGCTAAAAGCAAACAATATGTGTCTTTGAAGTAGAAACATATTAATGCTCGCACATACTTACATATACACATTTGCATTTAGCTATGCGGGTAAAAACACATCTGTAATTACATTACAATTGTAGTGTATGCTTGCAAGTAAGTAATATTCACTTTGCGGCTTAACCTTCAATGAGGTTTCGTTTTCATACAAAAAGTAACGACGACTCATGCCGACGACGGTGGTGGGTACATACGGCATATGTATGTACATATGTGTGTATGTATGTATACTCTTGCTTAAAAGCAAAGTTGTTAGCTGTTTGTACAAGCGCGCTGCTATTGTTTGGAGCGCTAATAAAGAAAATAAAAAATAGTAATTTCAAAAAAAAAAAAAAAAACAACAACAATAACTAGCGAAGAGTTTTACAAGCACTATCAAAGTTGTAAAATGAGTGTTTGCGGGCGTCACTGAATGGCTGATTTGTGGGAAAAATGTAGTCATGTTACAATTTCAGCGCTCGTTTTGTTTTATTTAGCAAGAAACAAACAAACGCTTACATTTAATTTATTTTATTTGAATTTGTTCTCATTTCTTTTTTATTATTATTTTATTTTTATTTTTTACATCTATCACTTTATACTAGTTCAAAGTGTTCGAAAATGATCGTGCATACATTGTAATAGTTTATAAAGGTTAACAGCTTTACGGTTCTAATAACAATTTAATTACTGTTTGGTTACTGATTGACAGATACACAATGGGTGCGTCTAAAATTAAAAATTTGTTTATCTCCTAGGAGGCATTAAATACAAAATAAAAAAACAAAAATAAAAAAAATGTTAACATTAAAAAACATTGAGAATATTTGCGTGATTTTTTTGTTAGAAAAATAATATGAGGAAGTGTAATTTTAATTTATATACACACGCAGAGCATACATAATATGATATATAAGAGCCTTGAGAGGGGGGAGAAAATAAAAAAAAAATACAAAAATAAACCGTAAAAATTAAATAGAAATAAATATAACAAAATAAAACAATAAAACATAAAAAATTAAATAAAATGATGCAAAAAAAAAAAACAAAATAAAATAAAATTCTATTAATTTTAAGTATTTATTTATCTCGTAGGAGGCATTAAATAAAAAATAAAAAACATTAAAATAGATAAAAGTAAACATGAAAAAAAAATTTAAAACATTTGCGTAAGTTTTTTGGTTTGAAATGGAATATGAGGAAGCATAATAATAATTTATATACACACGCTTAGCATACATACTATGATATGTAAGAGCCTTGAGAGTGAAATAAAATATGTAAATGAAGTAAAAAATAAAATAAAATAACACAATAAAACTTAAATAAAATACATGAAATAAAATAAAGTAAAATANAAAATAAAATAAAATAGCACAAAATAAACATAAATAAGGATAATAGAATTTTAAGAAATTAAATAAATTAAATGAACTGTAGAATAAATAAAAAAATAAATAAAATTGCGCAAAACAAAATTAAATAAAATAAATCAAAAAAAAATTGAATATGAGTATCAAAAATTAGTTATATTATCAACAACATCAATTGTTCGTTTATTTTTGAATGTTGAAATGTAAATAATTCAGCAATAATTTACATTTATTGTTGTAGACTACCGATATGTGATAAGCAAGCCGAAAAATGCAATGAAACAAATAAAAAAATAAAATAAAATAAAATAAAATAAAATAAAATAAAATAAAATAAAATAAAATTAAATAAAATTAAATATAAGTAAAATCTAAAAAATAAAAAAAAAATAAATGATGTATTAAAACAAAATATTTTCGAATTAAAATTTGCACT